ATATGCATGGAACCATGCAATATATAGCCTTAAAAGTTAATAGTTTGTTCTGGCTCAAAAAAAAAAAACCTGAACCCAGGGCTTTCATGCTGAGCCATACCCCCCACTTTTTAAAAAAAATTTTGAGACAGGGTTTCATTCACTAAGTCACTAAGTTGCCAGGCTGAGCTTGAACTTTAAATCCAAATATTTTTGACATGATTATAGTCAGGATTCACAAACATTATACAAACCATTACTATTTCTTTGATCTCTTTGGATTAATAGCAATGTCATTTTTATTTAGGTTTTAAATTTTATACAAACCTTTAAAGGAAAAAGCCTTTCAACATCATTTAAAAAGAAGCAGATAATGACTAAAAAGCACATGAAAAGGAGTTCAACATCAATTGTCATTAGGGAAACATCAATTAAAACAAAAACAAGATACCATTTTATGCCTGCCAGATTAATTATAATAAAAGAGATTGACAATAACATGTATTGGTGAGGATGTGGAAGCCTTATACCTTGCTAATACAACTATAACATGGTACAGCCACTTTGGAAAATGGCTTGGCAATTTCTTAAAAAGTGAGCCATACACTCACCTTTAATCTAGCAATTTCACACACAGGTATTTACTTACGAAGAATGAGAACAAAAGTCTAGATAAAGACTTTCATGTTAATGTTCATAACAACATTATTCCCAGTAATCCTAAAGGGAAAAGAGTCCAAATGTACACCAGTTGGCGAATGTATACAATGCCATACGATTCATTAATAAAAAGGAGTAAAATTCTACACGGTACAACATGGATGACTCTCAAAAGCATTATGTGCACAAAGCCAGAAGCAATAGATTATATGTTATATGATTCCATTTATATGAAATGTTCAGAAGGCAAATTTATAAAGTAGAAAGTAGGTAAGTGTAGTTGCCCTGGGGTTGGGGTGGGGGATGAGGCTTTACTACATATAAATTTAAGGGAATTTGAGAAGGGAGATGGAAATATTCTGAGACTGGATTATGGTGAACCTTTACACATTTACTAATATACATTATTGTGTATTGTACACTTATGAAAAGAAAAAGAAGAGCTTGCTTTGAACTACTTTTGGTGTAATATTTTAAGAACAGTGAAATTTAGAATCTAATACTGCAAAATATTTGTACAACAAAAGAATTTGTGAAGTCTCTTGAGCTTTCAGATTATAAGCAGATTTGTCCTTACTATATCATCCTTCTGACTATGCCTATGTCAAAGGACATTTTTGAAATAGTAATACATTTGAATGCCACAGAGTGAAATGAGGTTGAATTATCATTACATATCTTTAAGCCAAAACAAAGAAACAGCAGATGAGTGGTTGTTTGGTTTTTATGTTAATGTGCTGCTACCTAGTGATCATTTATAAAATGGCAGGGCTTCACCCCACCTCTTTATTCTTGGATTTGTTGAGCCCTGTCTGTATGTGACAATTTTGGTGACATGTAGATTAAATATTCAAATGAATCTCTGAATAATTTGTTTTATAAAAATACTCTAGTGACAAGAATTGGACTAGAAGTCTAAAAAAATAGCTTCCAGTTCCTGATTTGTTTGTGTCAGCTTTATGGTTCTGAGCCAGGACAACATAAATCTTGGTCCCTATCTGGCGCCAAAGTTCTAGGAGAGGCTCAGTAAGGTGGTGACTAGGACGATGGCTGTGCTCTAAATTTTAGTATCATAGCCTAAATCTTTAAATGGTGATGAAAGAATGCCTATTGCGAAGGTAGCTGTGTGCAGAATATACCTCAGAATAAGTTAAGATATGAGAGCCTTTCCTCTCAGAATGTGGCTAATGGGCAAAAATCCCTTTCCTGCTTGTTAAAATGAGTTACTCCTCCCTACCAGTGAAAACCTCTGAACTCAGAAGTTCAGAAAACAAGACATTGGGCTGGAGCTGGAGCCTGCTCAGTGGTAGAGCAAGGCCCTGATTTTGATACCTAGCACTGGAGAAAAAAAGAAAAAAAACGATTCTTGGAATTGTTGCCTGATTGGAAAAGCACATTTGAACAATTCAGTTTTAAAAATAATGAATAAAAATTGCATAGCAATTAGAATTTTACAAGTCACTTGAAAATCGGAATTAGTGATTATTTTAAATGATAGTGACAGGGAGATCCAGGCATATCTGTTCTAGCTTCCACTCACCGTTGGTATCTTATGGATCTCTGGCAAGTCAATATATGTGCTAACTCAGTATCCTTCTTTCATTTTCACAAAAACTAAGGTGAGCGTTTGTACCACCTGGATTTTATTCTACAGGTCAGAGAACCAGTCTGCTTAAGGATCAACAGCCTCTGAAATTAAAGGGTTTCTATTCTGTACTTTACTTCTTCAATCATTAGAATGTTTCTTTGGAATCTTAACATACCAAGATGATTAATTTTAGCTCTTACCTTCCACACAGACATTTTGGTACTGCTTACATATTTTTAAAAATAGCTTTATTGAACTATAACTGAGATGTGTAGAATTCACTTATTTATGTTCTCACAATCCAGTTTTAAATTAATTCCAATATATGCTTTGGGTTTGACTAGCTTTATTATGAAATGCACCAACCTGTGGATTTAAACCACCTAAATCTGGGACTTAGCTGAAGCATTCATTTTTGTTTTTTGAGGTTTTTCTGGGGGGTACTGGGGATAGAACTCAGGACCTTGAGCTTGCGAAGCAGGTTCGGTGCCACTGAGCTAAATCCCCAGCCCTGAAGCATTCATTCTTAATAAATCAAGCTTTCAGGAAAAACAAATTCAAACTCTCAACTTGATTAAAATTAGAGATTGATAAAGCATATTCTCCAAGATCTTTCCAGGGTTATGTAGACTAATTAAGAATATAAACATGAAACATGTACACAAGAATAAGAATTAATGTATAAACTAATATATGTTTTGAAAAGTGTGTATTTTATAATTCATTACAATTTATGCCAATAGGCATAAAATTTAATTTAAAGATGTCTCCAATTAGATGATCTTTCATACAATGTTATATTATGAAAGATGACTAGGTGAGATATGCTGCCTAGGGACTAAACATTTTGATCTAGCACAGACAAAAAAAAAAGGAAGAAATACTTCCTTTTTCTGTAATTTGTGCACACTTTTGGAGGACTGGACCTGAGATATCATCTTGGGTACTTGGAAAGGAAAAGCTTCTTCCTTAATATTTGAGGCCTTGATTTTCTCTTATTTCAAAATGGTATTATTCAAGAAAGAATTAATTACCACACTCCTCTTTGTAGAAATATACTATTTATGGTGTACATCTCCCCATATAACATCTATAAAACGTGTACATTAATCTGGGTGTAGTGACATATGCCTGTAATCCTAGCACTCAGGATGCTGAGGTAGAAGGATCTCAAGTTCAAGGCCAGCCTGTGCTACATAGTGAGTTCAAGAGCAGACTGAGCTAGAGACTTTGTCTCAGAAAACCAAAACCGATGATGATGATGATGATGATGATAATAATAAATGTACATTGAAATCTCAATTGCAAGAATTACAATCTGGGAATAATGAAAGTGTCTCTACTTATTTATTCATTTTTAGTTCTGTCTTATTTCAATTTATTTGTAGTGTTTCAGAGGGGAATTTATATATATACTAATTCCACTTTGGAAATTCCAAACACACCTTTTTTCTAACCCTACAGAGTTTACTGCTAACTCCGTTCATGTTGACTCTTAAACACCATTTTATATTGTTATTTAAGTGTTCTATATGTGCTAGTTCAGTCTCCTCCATTGAATAAACTCCTTGTGGTTAGCATAGTTGTTTAAACCTTGTGAGTGTGAATAAACGAATTTTCCATTTTTCAAGCACCTACTTCACACTGGGCACACGAAAAGCTATTCGGTAAGTACTATTTAAGTAGTAAATGATACCCCAGGTTTGTCTCTCCTCCTCTGCACCCCATAACATTTACACTTACCATACAGCCAAGATTTCCTAGACATCACAGATTTTCTGCCCTCCTGTCCTGCTAACAGTTGCATGTGCCACTCCATATGTCTGAGACATATGGTCCTCAGTTGATGTAATATGAAGCCCTCTCTATTACTACAAACTTCGGGTATCTATTTCTCCCCCCTTTTTTTTTGAGCTAATAGAAATTACTACAATTTCAAATACAGTCCTTTTTATTTAACTTTATCCTCGATCTTTAAAACTACCAAAGCATACTAGTAGAAAACGTTTGAAAATACAAAATATATAAAGCAAAACTCGCCTTCAAAGGTAATCAATCTATTTCTTCCCTGTGATTTTTCATTTCGAAACTTATAATTCGGGTCTTCCACACTCAGAGGGCCTCGAGAACATCTGGTACACACAGAAGGCAGCTGCGTGGTCCAAAAGGTGCTGAGCCTGAATTGAGACCCGATCCATACAGCAACGGAGTATCTTGAGTGCGGCGCTGCCCATTTCACAGGTTGAGCCAAGAGGGTCGTGTAAAGGACTTTTGTGGGTCCTACTGCAGTCTTCGAGCTGACATAGCAGACTTTCCAATGCACCTCGGCAGCTTTGAGGGCCTCCCAAACCTCCGCTCCGGTGACTCCAGCACCGCGAATTCAGTGATTCCGCCCTCGTTGCCTGGAGCGCCAGGGCCCGGTTCTGAGACGGCTGCCAAACTCATGCTCCCTCTAGGGCCCCCTCTTGGTCTCAGCGTTACACGAAGAGTCACCTCGGCCTCAGTCTGGGCCTCTCCTCTTCCCTGACCTTCGAGTCTTAGCCTCCACATCTCCGCAGGCCCTACCAGCCCCTAAATTCCTTAGCCTCCTTACCCACGCCCCCGCCGGCACAAGCCAGGTCCTCCACGCCCCATCGCTCTGTATTTGATTTCGGTGCGCGCCAAGCTTGAGGGCAGCTGTGATTGGTTGGAGATGAGCAAATTTCCTATATGATTGGCTAATAGACAGTGTGGGGTGGGGACTAAGGCCCTGGACCTCAGGAGGTGAGTGGTGATTGGTTCCCGCACGAGGAGGGGCGGAAGCAAAGGCTGGAGACTGGGCTCGGTTGGAAGACCTGAGAGGAGTCATGGAAGTAGTGAAATGCCCTGAGCACGGTAAGGGCTCAGTCTTAGGGTTTCCTGGGGCCTGCGGGACTAGCGTGCCGTAATGTTATCGATCTTGTTTCCTCAGAGACTTTCTGCTTTTTGAAGACCGGCGTTCGCGAGGGCCCGAATAAAGGAAAGAGCTTCTACGTGTGCCGGGAGGACACGTGCGGCTTCGTGCTGGCCACTGAGTAAGTCTCCACCTGGGCCTGGTTCCCCGTGAGCGTGACCGCCAGCCTCCCGGAGGAGCGCGGCCCCTGCTGTCTGCGGTGCCGGGACCCTTAAGCAGTTGGTAATTCCAGGGCTGCCGGGCGGGTGCCCCGTCGGTTCTGGGTGTGTGACCCGAGACTGGTTACTTTCCCTCTCTGGATCGCGGATTCCTCACCTGTAAAATGAAGAATCGCACCCGTTTTGCATCTTTTCAGACTCTTCCAGCTCTAGGTTTCTAGTCTCCCTTCCGGCCTCAGCTGCGCCCCTCTCCTGTTTGGACAGCACCGCCACCACAACTCTTTCAACATGGGAGAATGCAGGAGGCGGAGTCGAAAATAACGTGTCCTTCTTTTGCACTAGTTTTAGAGCAAACCGTTTATAAGTGAGGTTAGAACACTGGTGATTAAGATTTTAGTCTTTTAAAAAAATAGGATTCTCAGCATCTAAATGGTGAGATGGATTATCCAAAATTTCTTCAAAGATTAACCCTGGAAGAAACATCAGGATCTGATTCAGTGCTCTGGTTTTACCTGAAACCTGAGACCCAGAAATATTGAGCATCTGCTCTAAAGTGGGGAAAGTTCATACTATTCTCAGGTATTAAAGTTTTATGATATTAGGTGTCTACAGTCTCCATTTTTTCTTGCTCTGTTCTGCTGTATTTGGTAGAGCAAAGTTATGTTTTTCATATTGTATGTAAAGTACATGATGGATATTAGTACTAGAAAACAAAGTATCCTTTTAAGTTATTAATTTCTCATATTTCCCTTACATGAGTTAATGATGTGTGTCTTTATTTTGCTTTCAAACTAAGTGCAAGACTTTGCATCCTTTTTCAGATTCAGAAAATAAATTTTTACAGAAAATATTTTCTTGGCCTTGTAATAAGTTGACTTTTTAACTTGAAAGAAATACTGGGATCATTGTCAAAAGATCAATCAACACTCGATCTGTGTCTAGATCAACATGTCATATCAGAGTTTACTATTTATTTCTGCTTTCTCAATACACTGAGCTTTTTTGATTCAGAACCTCATTCAAGTTTTGTGAGACATAAACATGTTCACGTTTACAAGCATTAAGCATTGATGGTGATATAAGACATTAAGAGAAACAGGCTCTTAAGAGAATCATTTATACCAATGTTCTGCTATACAGATGAGTACAATAACTCCTCATTGAGGACAATTATTTGATAAACTTGACATATTTGGAAAATGTCTGATAATAAGAATATAGGCCAAAAAAAGTTTCAGAAGTGATAGGAGAGTACTTTAGACCTTAACTCAAACCTGTATAACCTGATTACTCTCAGATGTGTAAATAATTATAAGCTGGGAGAGTAGTTTAAGAACTTATACCTGTCAAGTAGCAAATTAATAGGGTTTTGTTAGACGTAGGTGTGTGAATAATGCTAAGTGACAGCTAATAGGCTATTAAAGGATACAGGGTAGCAAAGGAACCTGAGGAAAATTGACATAGGCTGGTCTCTCCGCCAGCCTTAGACTTGAGTCATTTCTGAGTGTCACAGTGTTGGTCAAGCAACAGAATGGCTTTCGACTTTTGAGTTATCAAGAAAAAGACCTTTATTGTCATGCTTTATTTGAGAAAATGAGGAAAGATGGGATCTATGGACCCTTTCCCCAGAGGAAAGCCTCTGGATATAACAATGGGTAGAATTTACAAACACAGCAGAGGCCATGCCTAGATTCTTGGTTTAAAATTTAGGATTTGGATTTAACTTTAGGATGTTGACCTCTACTCCTTGACTCCTAAGACGAAGTATTTTCCTTTTTTTTCCTCTCTAGTATTCCTGTTTCCCATTGTTTATTTCATGAGGATTTTGTGGTAGAGCTTCAGGGTTTGTGTCTACCACAGGGCAAGAAAGAATACAGGTAAGGGTTCAAAAGGAGTATAAAATGTATTTCTTTTTCTGTTTTTTCTCTAAAAGAGTTGCTGCTAGGTACAGTTTTGGATTGTCTTTTAAAAGTTATTAAAAACAAATAGTATTTCTGTATTGTTGAGGATCTTCAGGGCTGTCATTCTCTTAAATGCTGAACAACTGGTTAATCTGAGAAGCCAAACTTGTGGCTAATTTCTGCCTAAGAAGTTCCATCATTGTTTTTCTACAACTCAGGTAGCTAAAAACATCATCCCAACCACCAATAGCCACTAACTTGTCACCTTTTAATTCTCGTAGTAGAACAAGGTAATATGTAACAAGTTCTAGCATATGTTAAGTACTCCATGAATTACAGTTTCCTTTCCTTTAAATGGAACTTGGGAAGTGCATACAGATGGAAGATGATATTTGTCTTGGGCTTATTGAAAGATAATTAGGAATTTAGCTGGTGTTAGAAAGGGGTCATATTTAGTAGGCTAATACTTTACATTAGGGTATCACAGCATAAAATAACATCACATCTTCAGGGAATTTGGTTTGGTAGTAATTTAGCATACATTTTTCTGTTGTGGTGCTAGGGATTGAACCTAGTGCCTCATGCATGAGCTCAGATTCCACCACTGAGCCCCAGTTTAGTATGTAAATAAAGACTTAAGGAGATAAGGTTGACTGAGAAGATAAGGACTGGGATATGATTATCTTTATGATATTCTGTGCATTTCAGTATTTTTATGTTCTAAGTCTTGGTACCCCCACCCCAATACACAGGTAATGAAGTACTAACTTCACAATTGTTAATGGACTTATGAATATAGTTAAGATGCACAGGTTTTGAGTTCAGCTGCTTGAGTTTTGAGAAATGTGTATAGCCACCCATATAACTAAGACCCAAGTCAAAATATCAGTAAGTGCCATTTTCTCCATTTCAGTAATTGCCACCCTTCTGCCTTTAAATTAGTTTTGGTTTTTATCACTTTAGGTTTGCTTTGGTTGTTTGTGAACTTCATATAAATTAAATCATGCTTTATGCACTCTCATATTTGACTTTTTTTACTTAACAATGTCTGAGAAATTTATCATATTGTATATATCAGTAATTCATTCTTTGACTGCTAAATTGAATTCCAACTATGAATGTACCCATGTGCTTGCCATCAGAAATCTTTAGTGAAGTATCTGTTTAAATCTTTTACCCATTTTAATTGAAAATTTTATCGAGTAATTTTAGATCCATATGAAGTTGTAAAAAATAATACAGAGAAATCCCTGTAGTAATAGTTGTAAAACAACTGAGATATTGATATTGTCACAATATGCTGATCTTACTGGTAAAGGTAAGTTTTTACTGGTACTAGTGTGTGTGTGTGTGTGTGTGTGTGTGTGTGTGTGTGTGTTTTGTGTTTTTTTTGTTTGCTTTTTGGAATTTTTTGGTGCTGCTAGGGATCGGACCGAGAGCTTTCACATTGAGCTGCATCCCCAGCCCTTTCTTGTTTATGAAGGAATGAATGAATGAATGACAGTCTCACCAAGTTACCCAGGCTGGTCTTGAACTTGCGTCCTCCTGCCTTAGTTTCCCAAGAAGCTGAGATCACAGTGGAGTGCCACCAGCTCTGGCTTACATTTGGTTTTATACAGTCTTACACATGTATAGTTTACGTATCTACCACCACAATCACAGTCCTGCATGGTTGCCATCACCGCAGGATTCTTGCTGTCGCCCTAATGTAAACATAACTTCCTGGCTTCTTTTCTTCCCTACTCAGGCCCAGCAACCATAAATCTGTTCTCTATGTCTAAAATTTTGTCAAAATTGTTATATAAACAGAATCATACAGTGTAACTTTTGGCATTTTGGCCTATTTTTTAAATTTTGTTGTCTTTTCATGATTGAGTTGGAAGAGTTTTTTTTTTTTAATTTAATTTTATTGGTACATTTTAGGTGTACAGTATAATGACATTCATCATTGAAAATTTGCACCTTTACATAATCTCTCTTGGTTCTTATTTTTTTCCCCTTCCCCTGCACTCCCTTCAACCCTTCCATCCCTCCCTATTTACAAAGACTTTGTTTCCAGTTTTTCTTTTTTTTTGGTACCAGGGATCGAACTCTGGTCTTTGTGCTTGCTCAGGAGGTGGCGAAACCACTGAGCTATATCCCTGGCCCTGTTTCCAGTTTTTCATTTTCTCATATTAATTCCATTCCCTTCTTTCCTTTCCCCTACCCCTCGCACTTCCCCTTCCCCTTTGCCCCTTTTCTTCCTGTTTCACATTATCTATTATACCTTTTAGCCCTTATTTATACTTTCAATTTCTCACACTAGAGAAACTATTCAGTATTTACACATGTGTGTCCTATTTATTTCACTTAAGAGTATGGCCTTAATGTGCCTAGCTATAAATGTCTCTAATTTCTCATTTTTGTTGGCTGAGTAGTACTCCATTTTATTAAAAAACCACATTTTCTTTGTGGAGTCTCCAGTTGATGGGCATTTGGGCTGTTTCCAAGTTTTAGCTATTACAAACTGCTGCTATGAACATGTAGCACATATATCACTGTGGTATGATTCTTTTAATTTTCTTGGGAAGATCCCCAGTAGGGGAATAGCTGGGTCAAATGGGACTTCCAGTCCTAGTTCTTTGAGGTATCTCCACACTGATTTCCACAGTGGTTCCACCAGTCGACACTCCTACCAGCCATGGAGCAGTGTTGCTCTTTCCCCTCAGCCCCATCAGTATTTGTTATTGGTTGACTTCTTGACAGCAGCCATTCTTTCTGGGGTGAGGCAGAATTTCAGTGTTGTTTTGATTTGCATCTCTCGAATGACCAGTGATGTTGAACATTTTTTCATATGTTTATTTGCTATTTCTACTTCTTTGTCTGAGAAATGTCTGTACATTTCAGATGCCCATTTTTGGAATGGGTCTTTAAATTTGGGAGGTCTGATTTTTTTAAGTTCTTTATAGATTCTAGATAGTAGACCGTTGCCTGAGGAATACCAGGTGAAAATTTTTTCCCACATTGTGGTTGTCTCTTCACTCTGTTGGTGGTTTCTCTTGCTGTGCAGAAGATTTTTAGTAAGAAGAGATCCCACTTGTTGATTGTTTGTGCTAGCTCACGGGCAACTGAGGTTTTGTTCATAAAATCTTTAATTACACCAGCGTCTTCATGGGTTCTACCTAACCTCTGTTCTAGCTGGTTCAGTGTTTCTGTTTTAATATTTAGATCTTTAATCCATTTAGATTTTAGTTTAGTACATGGTGAAAAATAAAGGTCTAGTTTTAATCTTTGACAAGTTGAGGACTATCTTTCCTCCAGTGAGGGTGTTTGGCTCCTAGGTCGAAGATGAGGAGGCTGAGTGTGTCTGCAGTTGTTTCTGCATCTTCTAATCCGTTCCACTAGTTCTCAGGTCTGTTTGTTTGCCAGTACCATGCTGTTTTTATCACAGTAGCTTTGTAATATAGTTTCAAGTTGGGGGTTGTAATACCCCCTGCCATGTCTCTGTTACCTAGAATTGTTTTTGCTATTCTGGGTCTCTTATTCTTCCAAATGAACTTTTGGATTGTTTTCTTGAGGTCTGTGAAGTATGCTGCTGGGATTTCAATTTGTATTGCATTGAATCTATATAGCAGTTTTCGAAGTATGGCCATTTTCACTATGTTGATCCTTCTTACCCAGGAGCAAGGGATGTCTTTCTATTTTCTGATATTGTCTTCAATCTCTCTTTTCAGAGTGCTATAGTTTCAGAGGAGAGGTCTTTGATTTCTTTTGTTAGGTTGATTCCTAGGTATTTCAGTTTTTTGGATGCTATTGTGAAAGACATTGTTTGCCCTATTTCTGTCTCACAGTGAGTCTGTTGTTCGTGTAGAGGAAAGCTATCGATTTTTGTGTGTTGACCTTGTATCCAGCTACTTTACTGAATTTGGTTATGAAATCTAGAAGACTTTTGGTGGCATTCTTGGGGTCTTCTGTATAGAGGATCATGTCCTCTGCAAATAATGACAATTTGACTTCTTCGTTTCCTATCTTTATTCCTTTTATTTCTTTCTCTTGTCTAATTGCCGTGGCTAATGTTTCCAAAACTATATGGAATGGAGTGTTGATAGTGGACATCCTTGTCTTGTTCCTGATTTTAGTGTGTAGGATTTCAGTTTTTGACCATTTAGTATGATATTGGCTGTTGGTTTTTCATAGATGGCTTTTATCAGATTGAGGTAGAGACCGTCTATTCCAATTTTTTGGAGAGCTTTTATCATAAATGTGTGTTGGATTTTGTCAAATGTTTTTTCTGCATCTATTGCGATGATCATATGGTTTTTGTCCTTGGCTCTATTGATACAGTGTATTACACTGATTGATATGCGTATGTTGAACCATCCCTGTATACCTGGGATGAGTCCCACTTGGTCAGGGTGTATGATCTTCATGATATTTCTCATTCTATTTGCCAGTATCATGTTTAGGATTTTTGCATCTGTGTTCATTAGTGAGATTGACCTATAGTTCTCTTTTTTGGTTTGGTCTTTCTCTGCTTTGGGGATTAAGGTGATGCTTGCTTTCAGGAATGAATTCGGGAGTATTGCTTCCCTTTCAATTTCACTGAAGAGTTTAAACAGTAGTGGCAGTAGTTCTTCTCTAAATGTCTTATAGAATTCTGTAGTGAAGCCTTCAGGACCTGGTCTTTTTTTAGCTGCTAAGTTTTTAATTATGTTTTCTATTTCATTGATTGATATTGGGTTGTTTAGAATTTTTAGGTCTTCTTTGTTCAACTTTGGTAATTCATAACGTATTTAGGAATCTGTCCATTTCTTCTGTGTTTTCCATCTTATTGGTATAGAAGTAGGTATTGATGATCCTCTGGATTTCTGCTGGGTCTGTTGTAATTTCATCCTTTTCATTCCTAATTGCATGGAATTGGATCTTTTCTTCCCTTTTCCTGTTAAGTTTGACTAAGGATCTGTCAATTTTGTTTATTCTTTCGAAGAACTAACTCT